AATAGACAACGAAGTGAACAACCTAAATCCTGGCATATGGTTTCACAGTTGTCTTTGAAGGGCTGAAATACAGCTTCCATCCTAGAATCATAGATACAGAAGGAAGCTTGGAAGACCACTGCATCCAACTTGTATTGAATCAGAATCAGTTTTACTTCTGTCACTCTCACAGATTTTTGCCTGGTTTGCAGTCTTAAACTCCTGAATTTGGTGGATACCTTTGTCTGAAAGCTTTAGATAACCAGCCAAGCCAGGCAAGTCTATGTTGTGTCTCTCAACCTGGTGCAAACTACAAGAGAGGTGATACACCTCTTGACTCTGGTGGAGAACAGTTAGTTTTCTTTTGAAATAAGCCAACCTGTAAAGCAACTCTAACTTATTTTTTATTATTTGATTTACTGGGGAATTTTTCAAAGAAGTTCTCAAACGGAGGAGGATGACTCCTACTGGGCCAGAACCAGTTCCTTGTCTGACAGGGGCCAGGATATCACTTACTTGCAAGAAGTTTGCAGGACAAATTCTGGGTGAGCTCAACGCAGTGGTCTTAATTCTGCCTCCCTTTAAAAGGCAATTACATAGTTGTCATTGACTTCCCTTATAATTACATTAGTTTAGCATCAATGTCTTTTTCACAGATATTTTTCCTGTCATTCCATATTCCAGTGAAGTAACCTTGACTGATGGGAGAATGACCGCCCTAGTGGATTATTGTTTACTAGGCCAGCTTTAATCTTATTTCTGTCTCTTGCTTTGTCATCATCTGTAATTCTTCTCAATCCTATCAAAGCTACCTTTAGTTTCAGACACCAATAACAAAACCACTGGATACATTATACATATGTATTTATTTATAAATAATCAGGTTTTAATGTACAACATTGCCTTTCAGCTTACTGTGTTGTAGCTGCGTACACAGATGAGTGTTTAAATTGGGACCACAGTTTTGGCATGCTTATTTTCTGCAAATAGTATTCTATCTTTTCTAGTGCTGATGTGATTTCTGAAGTGAATGTCATGTCGGAAGTGCTGTAGTTGAGAAGGCTCCAGGGCTTCTGGCTTATTTAATACTCTTCTGGGTAGACTGGTGTTTATAGGAATTTAGTGTCATGGAAGCACAATTGCCTGGTGGCTGGAAACCCTTCAGTGCGAACAGTATCTCCGCCAGTAGGTGGTACTGTATTTTCACTTTATTGTAAAATGGATCTGCCCTGGGAAAGCACATTGAAGCATTTCTTAGCTCACCAACAATCCTCATGGACATTTTACTTTAATCTGGAACTTTCACTCCATGTATATTTAGTCAAACATAATTTTTCAAAAGTCCAATTCAGAAAGTAGTAAAGAGATTGCTGAAAATGTCAGTCAAAATCAAAATATTCTTCATGTCACATCTGGATAACATGCTCTTTCAGTACTTTCTAGGACTAGATGGAAGTATGAAGCTGTCAAAAAAAAATAATATCACACTATACATGAATATGTATTTAACTTTTGGGGACAAACTTAGGTAATGAGCATATTAATTTTAAAAGCTTAGATTCAAATAAGTACTCAACTAGGGAGAACACCATGTCTTTATCTCAAAATGGGTTCTTGATGGAAAGGGAAGAAGTAGAAGCAACTCAAGATGTGTGCTGGTGTGTTAGATTCCATATGCAGACAAGACTGGAATTGGAAAGTACTGGATAGACTTCAAGCCTTCTCTGGTCGTGAGTGCTATCTGGCACGCAGTACAGCACCACACAACATGCTAAAAGACTATGTCAAAGCCTTTTAACAGCATCTTCCAGTTTTTGCATGACTACTCTGAAAAGGGATGAGGAAGTTGGGGCTGTTCAGCCTGGAGAAGAGAAGGCTGCGTGGAGACCTCATAGCAGCCTTCCAGTATCTGAAGGGGGCCTATAGGGATGCTGGAGAGGGACTCTTCATTAGAGACTGTAGTGACAGGACAAGGGGTAACAGGTTAAAATTTAAACAGGGGAAGTTTAGGTTGGATATAAGGAGGAAATTCTTTCCTGTTAGGGTGGTGAGGCACTGGAATAGGTTGCCCAGGGAGGTTGTGAATGCTCCATCCCTGGCAGTGTTCAAGGCCAGGTTGGACGAGGCCTTGGGTGATATGATTTAGTGTAAGGTGCCCCTGCCCACGGCAGGGGGATTGGAACTAGATGATCTTAAGGTCCTTTCCAACCCTAACAATTCTATGATTCTATGATTAGCACTCCTGAAATGTCTGTGGACAGGACAAGTGCTATGTCTGGCCATGCCCAACAGTTACTTGTGTGCCCTGAGCTGAACATGCAATGAGGCTGGCCTTGTGCTACCCAGACTGGGGTAGCTTCAGATGTCTCTTCTCCTCCTAATCTGGAATCTGCAAGAAACAGGGGGACTGGCCCATCAGAAAACTCCATGGAAAAAAAAATAGAACTTCATTCAATAATATGATTGGGATAAAGAATAATTGTGGTGTTCCTGCTGGAGTGCCAGTAGTTCTGAGCTAGTTAGGATTTCTGTTTAGCAGAATTTTATTTCAAGCTAATAACATAAGAAATGTGACTTGGTTGCACACAACAATGGTGCTGAAATGTTTACACTTACAAAAGGTGATTCAACTGAGATTAGTTCTACTAAAAAGAAAATCGTCAATATATGATATTGTCACTGATAACAGTGGTAGAAAATGCTCTGTAGTTAAAATAGGTTTGATATATCTAGCCTTGATTGTCTTTCATTCATTGAAGTAAATTAGGAGTTAAGGTGGCACTATCTGGGCATTTTTAAGGCAAAAAGTATAGGATTAATCTCTTCACAGAGAGCACAGCAATCTAATCGTAACGAACTGCAATGCAGAGGCACCCCTTTTTGCCTCAGTTGCTCCTGCATGTCTACACTAAATCACCAGCGTTGGGGGCAGGTGGTGTTCCCATGGACAGAGCTGCACTCTCAAATCTAGCTCAGTAATTTTCATGTGGCCGTGTGCCAGCACAGGTAATAAACCCATCTGTAGCTGTGCTATTGAACGGAGCTCATGTTTGGACCCTGTCGGGTAGCAGCGACTGCAGGCAGAGAAGAGTAATGCAGAACAGGGAAGCTGAACAATGGTCGCAGGACTTCAGAATGTTGTAAGCAGCTTTTGTAACTAATAAATAGATCTTTTTTCATGTCTACACGTGGACTAGCTGCATGGTGAACAGTTTTTCTCACTGTGGTGAAACCTGTTATCATCTTCAGTGTTTAAAATTATATTATTAAATACTGCATAATAAGATATAAGGAACTCAATGTATACATGTATGAGAAAAAAAATCCCCCTCCCCCAAATTAAAGAATTTATCACAAAGCCAGGAAGTCACACAAACTTTAAGTAAGTCATTCACGGCTAATGCAGAGAGAAGATGGGTTTTATTAAGGTATAAAAATGTGGTTTCCAATTACTATTCTATGTATCAATGTAAAAGTATAAAGTTGACTAGATAAGCAGTGCTTCTGTTGTTGTTGAAAACCAATGATTAAATTCAGGGCTTGCTTAACAGTTTCAGCAAATCTTTCATTCATTGCATAAGTAACAGAATGATAACGTCTCCTGCATTTTCCATACATGTGATGGAAAACAAAAATACTGTAATAACAAAAAAGGCATAGCAGGGTTTCATAACATCCTTATTTCTCTTTTGGAGAAATGGGAAGTGCCACAAAAAAATAACTCTGACTGTTAGTACTTGCATATTGTTACTTCATACACAAAAGGCTTCATACACAAGAGCCGTAGCTGGCATGGCTCTCCTGAAATAAATGGAGCTGTGCTGATTTGCATTAACTGATGATTCAGGCATTATACGAAATCAGTCAGAGCTGCTACTTTGAATGGTAAACTATCATCTTTTTTATGTCAGATGATAAGATTGTATATCAAGACTTTATTTTCTTTCCCATTTGTCCTTTACATATCATCCAAATTAAAGAAAATATACCAATGTTGATAAATTACTTTTATGTAGTTCTATCCTTCCTGACATTGTCTCAAAGTTCTTTAAAACAAGTTGAGTATGAAAAGTACTAATCATCAATAAAGTATACATATGAAGTATGTCTATCAACCTGTATCTTTCGTTAAATATTTTATTCATTAATAAAAAAATACTTTGATGTCCATGGTCTGCTAAAGGAGTTAGCCTTACAGAGGCAGACCTGAAGAAGCGTTAGCTGTGGTGTCTCTCTGTACTGTTGTTCTGGGTACCACACGGCAGTGAAGCCCTGACCAGAAGGTCAGCAAGAGCTCTTGGTTTAACCCCAGGACTGCAAAGTCAAGGATGCCTAAGGCAGGGAAACCCAAGTTATTTTGCTGACACTGTCAGCGTATTTCACCAGTCTGCACCAGAGCTAACACTTTTCTGAAGCAAAGGTGATTAATTTAGGTGCTGCACTGCAAAGCATGGTTACAGCCCTGCTGGTCTCAAGATGGCTTGGCCTTGCGGTGCACTGTGGAGATGTTTCAAATCTGCAGCTTGGTTTGGCTTCAGTTTGGGAAGCTCTTGTGCATGCCGAAAGTCTACTATCCCAGGAAGTTTGCTGGGCAACCCCAGGTTAGCATGTAATGGTTTATTAAGCCATATATTTTGTATATGTATTTCACTTAACCATGCTAAAACAAGGGCTTAGACTTCTACCTCGAAAGTATGGATTGGGTAATAAAGATAATTGTTTCTTTCGACACCCTAGAGCCTGTTCAACATCAGGGAGTTAACCCAGGTTCTACGAAGCTGGGCCACCCTGGCCAAGGGTCCCCTTGCCTGCCTGCAGAGGCAGCTGTCAAGGCTAGTGCAGGCAGCCCATCGTGCTCACCTCTTCTCCCAGGTGTGAAGGGGAGGAAAATTAAATCCATAGAAACTTACAACAGTCTCAAATACTGACTCAATACCGCAGCAGACAGCGCGTTCCTTTGGATTCAGCATTCAGGTGGGATTGGCATTACATAACTCCCCAGGTGAGAGCTGGGACCTTACAAGGCTTTATACAAAGCAAAGCCTGTTCGGAGTCACTCCGGAGACCTGCGTGCCCGTGTTCCGTCTGGACGCGCCCGCAGACGTGCTGGGGATGCCACCCCCACCTTCGGCCGCCGCGCCGGGGGCCGCGGGGCGGGGAGCGGGGCGCGCCCAGGTGCGGCCCGCGCTCGGGCGGGCGGGCGGAGCCGCTGCCGCTACCGCCTGCGCCGCTGCGGAACCCGCAGACGGGGCACCCCGCAGCCATGGGGCAGGGAGAGGTGCTGCCCGCCCGGCCGGCCTGCCGCACGGGTCAGTGTCTGATGGGGCGCGCTAAGGGTGCGGGGGGTGCGCGGAGCTGCGGGGGGCGCGCTGGGGACGCTGAGTGCTGCGGGTGGAGATGGGGACGCGGCACCCGGCGGAGCTCCTCGATGCACCACGGGAGCGGCTTCATACGTCATGCATACGTAAGACAGCTCCGTCATGACGTCACTGTTGTTGTCTTTACTGTAAGGGTGGTGAGGCACAGGTTGCCCAGAGAAGCTGTGGCTGCCTCATCCCTAGCAGTGTTAAAGGCTAGGCTGTGATGGGACTGGGTCTATGGGAGGTGCCCCTGCCCATGGCAGGGGGCTGGAACTGGGTTATCTTCAGGTCCTTTCCAACCCAAACCATCCTAGGATTCTATGATTCTATGAGCGTGGCACTGCTGGTGCTGGGGATGCTCCTGCACTGCTTCTCTCAAGGCTGGCTCGTGTCTAGACCCTCTTCTCAGCAGCTTTTGTGCATTTTTGTGAATGGGGGCTTGCCAGGGAACAAATCCTTGCTGCTTCTCCATGCACCCACTTTCAGCCCCAGGCCTTGGTGAAACTGACCATGGTATTTCCTGAGTGACCGAGAAAGGCTTTTCGTGTTTCTACCAGGTGTGAGCTGACTCCTGAGTGCAATAAAAATGGTCAAATTACATGCGTAATCAAAGCAAATAGTTTTACAGATGACTTAGGACCAATATCTTTAGTAGCAAGATAAAAGCCAAGCTGGCTCCCACTAGCAAACCACAGGGTACATTAGTCCTAGGCTTTTGCAGGACTGCAGAACAACAGCAGGTTAAACTTGCTACAAAAAACATGTGGTATCAGGCTGGCCAAGCTGTCTGACTCAGAGAATATTTAGGTGTTTGAGAAAATAAGGTGTTTGATTCTGAAAATGAGGAATCATTTTCAGAACCATGAAAACATTTCGGAAGTTACAACAGTGGCCAACTGAACTCAGTCTGATTTCCTGTTGCTCTCAGCCTTGAGTCAGAGCTGAGAGAGTTTATTTCTGCAAGGAGGAGTTTTGCTGACAGGTTCATGTTTGTTGACGTTGGAAGTGGGAAGTGAAACTAGTGTAGCTACAGAAACTGGGTGCTGAGCAAGCCAGGCAGTCTCAGAGATTTGTCACCTTCCTCAGTGTTGCCAGGTGTCTTCGCATTGTTCACCGTGAGCAATAAGGTAATAGTAATTCCTGGATCAGCCTTCTCTTACCAGCTCTCAGTTGTTTCTTTGACCAGTGAGGTGACATACCACTTACCATGAGAGTGGAACAAAAGACACGCTTTTTAGAACTAGAGAATGCTGCTCAGCACAATAAACAGAGATCACAACCATTCAGTATGACTCTTCTCAGCGGGCAGATGGAACAGACGGCCGAGCCAATGGCTCCTCGTAAACGTGAGCAAAGACTATTTCAGGAAGGACAGAAATATCCAGTGGCAGTCACTGAGTGACATACTGCAGATGGCATGATTAAATTTTCATTATTTGGTGGCATAATGTCTGCTGGGGAATGAAAAACTTAACAGTCAGCAAAATAAGTAGTAGTAGTGTCATATGGAAGGGAATAAGCCTGCCATTCACCTCCAGCTCAATGGAAGTACACCATTCACAAGAAAAGGGAGAAGAATGTTATTTTCTTCAATGTAAAAACCCAACGTGCTGATTGAAAGCTGCCTAACCACCTACCACTACAGGTAGCTAAAAAAACATACTTATTAGGAGTTTTTTGTCTTCATGCTTTCTTTTAATTAAAAGAAATAATTGCGCTGCTTCTCACATAAAGCCTGTAGTAGCTGAGTAGTGATGGTACAACTGTCACCAGTCCAGTTTAGCATCATTATAAGGTATTGAGAGCTAAGGGATTTAATTCACTGGTAACCTCTCTGCTTTTTTGCCTTGCCCTGATATGTATTAGCTAAGAGAAACATCTATGCTTAAAGTACTTCTCTGTAATTTTCTATCTTTAATAATTATGTCAAAACTTAAGTATATTCAAAATTATCTTCTTCTAAGACATTGCTGATACTTTAGGATTTGAAAATACTTTCAGATACAGATGCAAATTCCATTTCTTTTATATTAGCCAACTGCAGCTTCTAGTAATAACAAGATGGCAGAATACTTCTATCCTACATACAATGCAAAAGTAATTTCATGTAACTATTAAGTTCTTTAAGATCTTCAGCTGCAGGGTATGGATGTACCCATCTTGTGATACCATTTTTGCAAAGTCTGGCAACACAAAACAACTCATTTTATATAGAAACCCTCTTAGCAAATGAGGAAATGTGACTGCACAGCCTGAAAATCAAATGGTAACTTCCTTCAGTATGTTTGTTGTACAGTATGGCACAGGAAGACTGGGAGCAGATACTTGTTCTAATTCTTTACTTGTAAAGGGTGTTATCTCCCATTGCTAATATCAGCATTGTCAGCTGCAGATAACGATATGCTGTCAAATTTCATACTTGTTTTAATACTCTTGATATTTTTAGCATTCCTTCCTAAACTGCATTTGGTGAATTATCCAAGGCTGCTTATAATTCAGTGAAGTCAGTTCAATGAAGTCAAAATATTAAAATTTCCAGAGTTTAGGTATGAACAGACACAGAGGCACATTCTTTTCTACCAAGTCTCCGTGTTTTTTTTCAGTTGGAAGAAAGAAGTGAGTGTATTACTGATGGTGTCACTCAGCAGGACGATTCTTTTGTGTGTCATTTTAATTACAGGGGAAACGTGGAAAGCAAAATTAATTGTTGCATCCAACGCCTTATATTAATCACAATGAACTGAGCTTTTGTACTTCTGCATCAGCTGTTTCATATGTTAACAGGTCTTCACAATAAAACCTTTCAGTCCAAAAATGTTGTTCTACACTAGGTTGTCTGATCCATGCTGTTTTCTTGATGCAGTTTACTGTGAGGAACTGTGAAGCACAAGCCTAGGATAGTAAGCCCTGTTGCAGCACTGCTGCCTGTCCCCTGCTTCCTCATGCAAGACAACGACTCCTTTTGTTCTTAGAAATGCAATACCTCTTCTTCCTTTAAAAAACATGTCTAGGCTGATGGCAGTGATGTCATTCCCACAGGCTGTCATTGTATTGATGCTGGTCAGGCTTTGCTGTTTGAGAGTAGCTTCAACCTTAGTTAAAGATCAACCAGATCTGCAGCTGTGCAGCAGGGATAGCCAGGAGGACTGTCCCTTGCAGGCTTTGGTCTTCCCCCATCTAGGAGCTCTTGAGGTTAGATGAAAATGATTGTGAGGTGTAATGAAGCCTCCACCTCAAAATTTTATGAGTTGTTAAAGAAGATCTGGCTCACCTGTAGACAATGAATTATAATGAAGCACATTAGTGTCCATGTGCAGCAAGAGTTTTCTCCCTATATAATTTTTCCTTCTCTTTTCCAAATCTCAGCTACAAATGTAAAAGCTGCAGAAGCCTGGAATAACAGCAGGCAAACTCTGAAATAATGGGTTGGCTGTAGGTTTATATTTTGGGGATGTGGTCTCTGCACAACACAAAAGAACCCTTTCATCTTGAGGTTTCAGGTTAGCTTTTAAGATTTTAAGTTGAATTTTACATCAGAGATGTTTTATTGTTGCATTCCTTCGTATTGCTCTAATTGGTTGACTGAGCCAATTTAGTGGAAATATATATAAAAAGTAATGTAGGCACCTGTGAATTACAGAAGTGGGTAATGGCCTGGGGCAGCACTGTTTATGTTATCTATGTTTTCTGAGTTATTTGAATGGTCAGAAATGACAACGCTCAGGGAAGACATGGAAAGGAGTGAGGCAAAGCAAGGATGGGACTCCTCCAGAGCTGTACCTGTCTCATGGTTCACTTGTCCTTCTTTTTTCTCCTTCCAGGTGCTGTGCTCTCTCTTGCTTGCCGTAACTCCTGCCTAGCATGGTGCCAGATCATAAATGTGTCTGAATCGTGTTCTTCTCTCCTCGCCTCTATGGACGGGACTGTCAATGAAACAAACCGGAGCATTTCCATGCTTGCTGGAAGCAGATATCATCTCTACGTTGGCTTGGCTCTGGCTCTAGGCTCCAGTGCTTTTAATGGTTCTAGTTTCATACTGAAGAAGAAAGGACTTTTGAAACTGGCAGACAGAGGAGTCCCCCGAGCTGGTAAACAATGGTGTTGCCTTGCTCCTGCTGGGGACACAAATGTCTCCTGGCAAAAGCAAGGTTTGAGTCACAGGTCACATGTTTAAATCTGTCATAGTTGAAAGCTGTCGTACATAGAGTGATCAGAAGTCCTGATGAAGATGCAGTATTATTTTTCTGTGTATGATTACAGGGACTGGGATTTCAGAATTCCTATAGCTATGAGAGCAGTGGTGGTATTAAATCCAGTGTTATTTCCTCCCTGACTGGAGTTAGATACCAAATAGGAGTCTCCACTCATCTTATGTTTCAAAAAGCCTTTGTCTTTTTCCCATCTTATTTTTACTCCTCATTTGAGACATTTGAAAGACTTAAGATGGTAACTAGGTTTAGGTTTTGTGGAAAGCTGTGGGGAGGATACTCATTAGAAAAGTTTCTGCAGTTAGTACAACTATTCTTTTATAAAAGTCAACAGATGAAGAGATAGAAAAAGACCTATTGAACTAATCTCAAAATTCCCTTTGTATGGATTTAAATGTATAGCATTAGCAGTTTTTCTTTTGTTTATTGTGTTTATTGAAATGTAGTTCCAGAGGATTTGGTTATTTGAAAACATTGTTACTGAATATTCAACATACTTATATTTTATATCAAAGAAGTCAATGTGTGCAGTGTAATTTTTTCTTTCTAATTTCTCTCAATTTAAAGTATAAACAGAGTCAAACTGCAGCTGACTGTGTATGGGAAAGCACTTTGAAGCATTTCTTAAGCTCACCAACAATCTTCATGGACATTTTACTTTTACTTGGAATTTTCCATCCATGTATATTTAGTTAAA